AAATCTCCATCATCATTTAGTTCTCGTCAGAGCGAGCAAAAATTAATTTGAAATTCCTTATCTCTGTTTCTTGTAGTAATTCCAGAAAACGAACATATGCAGCAGTATTTTGTAAAAGGTACTCGATTAATAACGGATAGTTTCTTGCGTTGAATAAATCTTCTTCCGTGTATCTTTAATTAAATGGCAGTTGTGATTCAAATTTACAAAATACTGTTAATATTGTAGATTAGAGAGAAGCAGAGATATTTGTTAATATATTAAAATAATTAAGCTTATATTATTCTCTCGAACATAACGAGCTGTGCGTGTTCGTCGTCATGTAGAACACAGGAATAAATTAGAAAATAAATTAGGGGAGACTGATGGGGAAAAAAATTTCGTTAGCAAACTCGACGCGAGCGATTCGTTGCACGCGATGAGAGCTTATCAGGACGCGCATCGACTCGCATAAAGCCAAACATCCGCAAATCGGAATCGCACTCACGCACGCACGCACGCACGCACGCACGCACTCGCGCACGCATGAGAGGGTTAACGGCAAACGGTATAAAACTAGCGGGAATTCACAATTCTAACCCACTCGCCTTGATTCGTACGGAAAGTCAATGTCTGTTTTGGCCCGATTTACTTTTACGAGCCCGATCGCGCGACGTTAAATGCATTTTGAGATTGTGCACACGATTCCCTCAGATATAAGACTTAACCTAGCCAGAATAACAAAAACCAGTACACTGCATATATATATATATATATATATATATATATCGATAAAACAAATTTTTTCATTGACAATCTTCGATATGATCGAACGAAATTATCTGTATGTAAAATTGCCGTTTGTCAACTCTCATTTAACGTAATTGTTTAACTTAACTTTTTTTTAATTTTCCCAATTTTTATATTTCTCTAATTTTTATATTTCTCCAATTTTTTAGATATAAGATTTAAATATCCTAAATTTTTAACTTAAAATATTTTTTAATCCTTTGGCGTTTTAAACACCGCATCTATTTATTGGGTATTAAACTTAATTTTAAAGGATTTACAAGAGATGGCGCAATGAGCACCTAATGGCATCGGCCCATACTGAAGCCAACTTCATATGAAAGCCCTGTCATTAGGCTTTAAGAATCAATATATTTCATTTGGTCGAAGTGTAAATACTCGTAACATATTTTTTTAGCGCATTCAATATGTCGAGTTTTGTGCCAACGAAACGCAATTTGCGGGAAGCGTTACTTTATTGTTTCCATTTGAAAAAATCGGCAGCTGAAAGTCTTCGTTTGCTGTCCGAAGCTTATGGGGATTATGCTCCATCGATCTCAACTTGTGAGTACTGGTTTAGACGATTCAAAAGTGGAGATTTTCCACTTATCCATCGTTCGAAGGTAATGCTCTGTATTTGGTGGGATCAGAAGGGTGTGATCTATTATGAGCTGCTAAAACCTGGTGAAACCATTACTGGCGAGACTGTTATCGACAACAACTAGTACAGCTGAACCGATAACCTTGAAAGAAAAACGACCAGAATACGCCAAAATACACGACAAAGTGATTTTCCAGCATGACGACGCTCGGCCATATGTCGCTAAACCGGTGAAGAAAACGCTAGAACTGCTCGGATGGGATATTCTAGCCCACCTGGCGTATTCACCAGACATTGCTCCTTCTGATTTCCACTTGTTCGATCCGTACAGAATCACCTTTCTACCCAGCACTTCAGTTCTTTAGAAGATATCAAAAAATGGCTCGATTCATGGATAACCACAAAAGACGAGTCGTTCGTACGCCGAGGAATCCGCTTTTTATTAGAAAGATGGGAAAAGGTTGTAGCTAACGATGGACAATACTTTGAATAACATGTACTTATCACTTTGTTTCGAAATAAACGTTCATTTTCACAAAAAAATCCTTCAAAATTAAGTTTAATACCCAATATATTAAACATGATATGCACCTTTTGTTCGTATGTGTCTACGTCAATCTCTTTCGAATTGTAAATTAATTATAAATTAAAAACGACTCTAATTTCTCGCGTATATTTTCTAGTTTAATAAGTCATCACAATTGTCACGAAATGTCGCGATGGTTAAACTTCTCGAAAAATTCTTGATAAAAATAAAATGTATTCGAGTTTCTTTGAACAATAACACGAAATGCGCCCTGCCTTAGGACGCTTTGTACGCATGTATATGGATGTAAATAGAGTTTGGCTGCAACACTGCATCGAGAATTCGAGTAATTCGGAGCACACAGAGTTCATCTATTCGTACGAGAAGCGCTCTGCCCCTCCTTTCTCCTTTGCCCCTTTCTCCGTCGTCCTTTGTATACCTTCCTTCTTTTCCGTTTCCTAACCGCGCCGGTTCTCTATTGCTGTGACGTAACACCGCAAGGTCTTACGGTATCTCCAGCAACGGGCCCATATTACGTGAGTCTCCGTACACGCGACCCGCATGTACGTAAGTACCTGCGTAGAAGAAGATCCGCTAACCGTCACTTCTTCTCGTCCTCGTGCATCTTTCTTCCAAGTGCGAGCGTATCCTTTAACTCATTCACATACAAACACATCGCAAAACCTGCGTTTTCGCACTATGAATTAATAATTATCCCCCCCTCCCTATCTTATTCGAATATCGAAAATTACCACATCGAAGATAAACCAATTTTATCTCGCAGATTTGTAAAGGAATTTTATAATTTAGATAGATTATAAACCGTGGAGCATTTCAATAATATTGTGTTTTTACCGCTCTAATCGCGATAAATCGCGAAATAGATTGTAAGATATTAACGTAAGATATGCTGCACCACAAGGTACGTAATTCGAAAGTAAACCAAGATTGATGAGAAACGCATCTAGAAAAACGGATTACATAACATTACATACATCGCGTATAATATATCCACTTATTTATCATCCGATAATCCCTTCTCAAGAGAGATTTCCGAGACGCATTTGGTCATTTAAAATATAATTAAATAATGCTGGATACGACGGATGAATTTCCCGGTTTCAACGTCACCAATTCCCCGAGTCAGGATATTTGAGTGAAAACGCAGGGTTCTATATTTATCGAACATTCGAAGAAATTACGTTCGAAGATGTAGCCAACACGAAACCATATTTGGACGTGCAGTTTCACGATCTGACGCACCGAGGTACCGCGATGTCTGCAATGCCGCGATGTCTCGAGAGACGCTCGACTTGTACAACACAAAGTTGGACAGGACGACACGAGCGTGAAAATAAAATACCAAGGTATATAGAGATGCGTCAATTCATTCCTGATCAATGGCCGCGCGACGAGTTCATCGGCTGCTGTTGTTCGGCGATCGGTGCGCGCGGCTGGCCGACAGGTGAGCGGCGCGGCGCACGTACGCGCGTATACATATGCGAGGTACAGTTAGGAGTACCGTTCTGAAAATGCAACGGCTCGCGAGCGTCTCGCGCCGGGCCCGATGCGAGGCCTGCCTCCGCGCCGGGCCCCGAGGAGAGGCTGATTTCGCGCGCGCGCGCGCGCGCGGTTCCCCTCCGTTCGCGTCCCGGAGACGGTATTAATGCGAACGGACACGCTCGAGTCACGCGGATCCGTTCGAAAGGGTGCGCGATAACGGTAGCGCGGTATATTCGCCGAGTCACTCGGCAAAAACGCGGAGGAGAGGATCCTCCTCGCGAGAATGTATCCGGCGAATGAATCGACCGACGAAATTAAAAGCTGTCGTCCAGAGGACTTTTCTCGTCTCCGCTTTCACGAAATGCGACGAAGGGGCGCAAGAAACTCTCGGCAATGTCGTGGCAATTATATCGCGCTGAACTGAATCATTCAATAAATATCGTCGTCGGAGGTCGACACTCGACCTCCGACGACGATGGAAACATTGAGAAAAATTTCGCAGCAGACACATTACAGCCGAATTTTTGCTCTACTGCACGGACACACGATGCCACTCTGCACTTTGTCCGCTTATTCCGATTGTTGTTTGTTAATAAAAGATTGAATATCTAACGAAGTATTTAACGAGGGGCCGTAGCGTTTTTGAATCGCGGCCGCCATCGAAGGAGAAGAACGAAGTGAAAATGTCGCGGCGAGAGTAACACCGGACAGGCCACGCGCATCGCAGCCCGTTCTATCGTCCCTCTTCGACAAGACGGTCTATCCTCCCCAACGAACTCGAGCTAGTAACGCGATCGAAGGAAGGGTAGCAGAGTCGCGCGGAGTCGCACATGCGCAAGACTGTAGCATCCCTCGAATCGCGCGAAGGCCGCTTTACGCCGGTTCTTCCATTCATGAGGAGAGACTTTCGCGCGTAATTCAATTCCGTGAATACACCGTAGCGACATTTGCTCTATCAACCCTCAAATAAAAACACACTCATGGCGAAAGGTATTAATATGAAGACACTCCGCGTGAAAAATAAAGGTGAGAAGACCTCTCTATCGCGATCGTACGAAAGAAAGGCAAGAAACGCTCGTAAACGATCTAAATCTACATGCCTCGTGTGAGAAAAGTGGAAAGAAACTCGTGGACAGAGCATGATAAAATGAATGCAGAAAGAAACTCACGGAGCACGATAAAATATGTGCAAAATATTATTAAAAAAACAGAGAAACTACAACACAACGTACAGATCGATAACACGACACGGAGGCAATCATCGTCTATACGACATTGGACATTGGAAAGACTGCGCTGCAGTATATATCATCCTCGGCTCCAATCGCCATTCGATAATTTATTTGTCATTTATCCCACGCGTCGCTATTAAGCGTACACTACTACTTTGTTCTCCCCTCCGCAATTACTACCCTCCCTTGTTCTACATCGCGACTTGAGTAATGACCTCAACATGGTAGGAAAGCCCTTCCACCTCTCGCGGAGCGACATTGCGCAGGGGTGGAAACCCCGCGCTAGCTAGCGTAACCCGGGCGGGGTGGCGATGGCGAGGGCTCCGGGGCGTAACGGGGTTGCTCGGGGGCGAGTCGAGTCCTCGGATGCCATCTGCTGGCGGTCAGTGCAAGCAGGAGCCACTGGTGCCCCGCAAAGTGCATAGCGCCGAAACGAAAGGACGGCAGGAAGGAAGGCAGGCAGGCAGGCACAGGAAGGCTGGAAGGAAGGAAGGCAGGCAAGCAGGAAGGAAGGAAGGAAGGAAGGAAGGAAGGACGGAAGGAACGTTCAAGCCTGGGACGTGGAGTCGGTCGGGCTATCTCCTGGACGGCCGGATCCAGGAGAGCGCACAAGGGTGACACATCGTCGCGGCGTGACGCGTTCGTCACCGTGCGCGCGAGCGCGCGCGCACGATCCGCTCGTGTTACCAACGAAAAAAGTAACGTGCCTTCGCTCCGCGACGACGAGCCGCGAGCCTACCACCGCTTCCACCATCGACGCGCACAACGACGAGCACGAGGCGCTCGAGTCCAACCCCGAGCTCGTCCCACGTTCCCGCTGTGTGCTGCTACACTACCCTCCGTGACAGTTGGAGTGCGTGAGTTCGCAAGAGCCCCGGCAAGACTCGGCGAACCACCTTCGCCGGTGTGATCCGACGAGCGAGGACGTCGACCGAGTTCGTCGTTGACGGCGCGAGGAAAGCATCCCCAGGTGGCCAGGAGATGCTTCTCGTTGATCGTCGGCGGAGATAGCGCGGCCCGCGGACGTCCCGCAGGACGTCGACAACGTCGACGAGCACGCGATGACAACGGGTGCTTCGCGATGCGGGTGGCTCTCGGTGCAGTGGTGATCGACGAGAATCGCAGTGACGACAGGCCGCGACGACACAGAGGATAGTCGTCGCGACAGTCTCGGGACGCTCCGAGGGAAGCACCGCTGCTTGGCATCCCGTCGCGACTCGAGTGCTCGAGAGCATTTAATCGCGCGCGAGGCCACAGCCGAGCGCCGCTCGGCGAGAGAGAGAGAGAGAGAGAGAGAGAGAGAGAGAGAGATATCGACCGTCGTCGCCGAATTAAGCGGCGAAGGTCGCGAGCACCGCTGTCGCCTGTCCGTTGTCCTTCGGACCTCCGGACCGAGTCCGCGACGCGTCCCTCAGTCGATGATCCCCGCGCGCGGACGAGCCGGTGGGCGACGACGACGACGACGACGACATGGCTCGCACACGGCTTCTGGCGCGACCTGCGCCGACCTGCCGATCGCGCCAACCGCTCACGAAGCTCTTCATCGAGACGATGCTGCTCGCTGCTCGCGTCCACGGAAGCCCGAGCTGTCCGTAATCGCGCGTAGAACGCGCTGCCTCTTCATGAAGGAATAAATTCATGAAAGTGCGCGGACAGACAGCCATCGCGGTACTCTTGCCGGAGGATCATCCGGAGACCGATGCGACGCGGAGAACGACGCAGCTTGTGAGATCAAAGTGGCCCGGTGAAACTGTTCTCGCACGATCATCTTCCTCAAGTATGCTCGCCATAGTTCGCGGCAGGTTCCAATCGCCATCCCACGTGACGGCGCGCTGCTCCGCCGAAGCGACCTCGGGCAGGAGGCCGTGAGTTCGTTCAAATCGCTCGTCGCGATCGTTGACGTGTTGACGTTGGGGATATCGTTGATCGTCCACTCGCGTGGAGGCTACAAAAGCCTGCCGTTTCGCTCAAGTCGTCTCGCACCGATGGTGCTCGTGCTTCCACGCTCGGGATCGGTCGAACAGGTAGAACTCGCGCCGGGTCTTAAGGACTTCGACCGCCACGCTCCCTCGCTCATTCGAGGCTGCGCGCGAGGAAACGCGTGCTTGAATCGAAGCGACCCTCTCCGAACGAGACCCACTGACCTATCGACTCGGCAGGCTGCCACCTGAGGCCGCCCCAACCACCCTTGTCCCACGCCGCTCTCCTTCATGTTTATTGTCGTCGCTCCTGTCGCTCCTGCCGCGACCTGCAACTCGCAGTTTCTCCCCGAAATTTCCGAATGCGTCCGAAGATCACTCGCTTCGCTCGCGAGGGTGTCAACACCTCCCTCCCTTGAACGTCGTCCCGAGCCGCGAAGAGGTTCATATCGCGAAGATACTTCCCATATCGTGCACAACAAGACCGAAAACGTTCTTCCGAGTAGCATATGAAAATCGGTCTTCTTGCTCCCCTCATTCGTTGTCCCCTACCCAACGTGTTGTTTGTCTCATTTCGAGATCGAGGGCCGACGAGCCGAGTCAAGTCGAGCCGGGCGAGAACGAACGGAGAAGCGCGCGCGTCTGCTCGAAAAATTAGCTCGCAAAAATTAGTCGAGTCCGCGAGGAATCGATCGCGTACAGAATATGTCGGAATCAAGATGGAAATACTCGGCGACATTGGCACGATTGAGACAGAAACACGTCGCGAAAGCGTGGCGCATCGCCACGAGTCGTTAATAACGATCCCCAACGTGAGCAACCTGACGAGATAGCCAGCTAATCGAACGAGCGAGCGAGCGAGCGAGCGAGCGAGCGAGCGAGCGGCAACGAACGATCGAGAAGAGGACCGAGAAAAACAACACATCACCAGCCACCACGTTCAGCGCATCGCGCGCGCGGGAAGAGAGAGAGAGAGAGAGAGAGAGAGAGAGAGACGCGCTAAAGAGCTCTCCTCTTTAATCGCACGGACGATGATTACTGCGTACGAGATGAAAATCCAGCCGCACTGATCTGCGAGCGATCACGAGAGCGTGCATTTATATGCGAGCGAGCGTGACTCGCGCGGACGACTATATAATGGGATAGAGAAACCCGCGCGACGCGCTCTCGAGTAATCTCGGCAAATTGACTGTCCGACCGATTGATCGTCCAACCGAGATTCATCGTCAGCTCGTCTCACCCTGGCCTCGACTCGGCGTTGCCAGACGCAACAACAACAACAACAACAACAACAACAACAACAACAACGACACGGTGTCCTCGGCGATTAGCACGTAGAAATGCCATAGTTCGTACTAGAACGTACCACTGCTGAGAGCGAAGAACCGCGCGAGAAATGGCTGAGAGCGCGGCGAGTCCGGCTGCCGTGCACGTCGCTGCGAACAGCCCGCAGCAGCAGCAACAGCAGCAGCAACAGCAACAGCAGCCACAGCAGCAGCAGCAGCAGCAGCAGCAGCAGCAGCAGCAGCAACAGCAGCAGCAACAACAACCGCAACAGCAGTCGCAGCAGCAACAAGCGCAACAGCCCCCGGATATAAGCAGCTCGCAGCTGACGTCGCCGCCGATCACGGGAACAGGTATGGAGAGACACGGAGAGAATCGCGTCGCGTGTGGTTCGCGTTGGTCTCGCCTAGCGTTTGTCGCTTCCTAGAGTTTAGCAGCGGTCCCCTCGATTTTTCATCGACCGCGACGGAAAATTGAGGAGGAGCTGAACGAGAATGAAGAAGGACGGGACGACGGTGTTAAATAAGGCGCGCATCGTGCCTCGTGTATCGCTCATCCCCGCGAGATGACAGGTAAAATCGCGAAATTTCATAGAGACGACCGGCCGGCCGGCCGGCCGGCGCGAGCCGGAACGATCGCGCTTCATCGTGCGCTCGTTAGCCGCAAAATCGTCGAGCCGCGGCGCGAGAGATAATATCTGGGCAACTAGGAAACCCTAAGTGACATTTCTCACAGGCGTTTGCGTTGTCCGGATTACCGCGCGAAAACGTGCTGCGATTTGCAAGTTGAATGACTCGGTAACGGGACAGCTCGAGTGCTCGCGACGAGGGAGCGAGAGAGACAGAGAGCCGTACCGAAATTTCTTTCCTTGAGAAGCACGCTTCTCCTCCTCCTCCTTCTTCTTCTTCTCCTCCTCTCGTACATACAACGTACGTACGTACACGTCAATGAACCTTGCATCGGCGCTCGCCTCGCCGATACGTCGTCCTCTCGTATCATTTATACCGTAACGACGCTCGGGTCCACGATCTCGCTCGCGTAACCGCGTAATCGCGTTGGCGTAACGTCGAGCCATTACTCCGCTAGCACGCGAATCGCGCGGCGAGACGGAGCGGCTCACGATGCGCCGGTACTTGTTCGGGTAGACACGGGGCGACGTGGCGGCGGTATCGATGTCGGCGACGGCAACGGCGACGGCGGCGGCGGCGGCGGCAGCGGCGGCAGCGGCGACGGCGGCGGCGGTGACGGAGAAAGGAGCAACGAGCAACGGGCGAGAAAGAGAGAGCGCGAGTCGCGTTAGCGGATCTGTCGGTCGAGTAACGGAACGCCGGCGAGTACCGCTAGCACCGGCTCTGACGCGGTTACCGTGCACCGTTACTTCGCCGATGCACGAGTATAGCCCCCACGTGCCGCCTCTCTCTCCCCCCTTACCCCGCTTCTCTCTCTCTTTCTCTCTCTCTCTCTCTCTCTCTCTCTCTCTCTCTTTCCCTCTCGTCATCCTCGTCGCGCTCGCTAGGGCGCCCCCGCGCCGGCGGGGAGAAGAGGAAGCACCTGACGAGCGACCTGAAGGTACGACGAGTCGTGGCCCGGTGGGAAAATTCGACGCAGTTATGCAAGCGGACGACTCCGCGACGAGACGCGGCCCTTCTGCTGTAAACATGTCGCTTAGCGTTTAGTCTTAGCGTCATGACGTCCTAAAATATACACGGGGGGGAGGGGGGAGGGCTCGCGTGCACGGACGGACGAGCAATTTTCGTGCGAAAGGAAGCTCAAGAGAAGCGGCGCGATATCCGGTCTTTTACAACTTTCGTTGCGCGAGGTAAAGGTCTGTAATGTAGCGCGGGAATTCTCGCGGAGCAACGAAGGTTAATACGAGTTTGTGTAATGGGCTGATAACGTTAACGCATAGCCCGTAGGAGGGAATATTAGAGAATTCTCCCGCGATAGCGCGCTCATTGGAGCGCGAGTTGTCGAATTAGAAATGCCCCCGGGAAATTGGCTGCTCTCCGGAGTTGCGCGATAAAACGAATAAACGCGTCGTGCGCCGAGAGTTGATGGTTTATTAATCGATGCGGCGGGGCGCGCGATCGAAGGCAAAAACGACGTTTCCGGCTGCCGCGTGTCCGAGGATCGTCCAACGCGTCCACGAGGTAGCGCGCGCGCGCGACGGTCAAACATTCGCGGTGTTTACCGCTACGTTTTACGTTTGGCGATCGCTCGGCCGCGCCTGTACCACGCCGGTGTAAATAAAACGGCCGGTATATACGCCGCGCTGATATTAAAATACACGCGGCTAACGAGACGCGCGCGCGCGCACGCCGCAGCGTTACATCGATATAATCGGCCGAGCCCGCGCTTCTTACGTGACGCATCGGTACGTCAATATAGTCGTCGGCGACACATTGATTTTGCATGACGTAGCGATACGTCAATGGTCGGCGGTGTAACGCAACGGTAGACTTGACGCGACGCGCCGGATACTACACCGCCGACGCCGTTTAGCCACGGCTGAACCTTCTTTCTTTCCCCCATTCCGTCCGTATTATATAGCTAGTCGAGCAGCGCTGTCGCTTCGCCTGCGCAGGAGCACAGACGGCTGATGAAATTACAGTTAACGTTAACTTACGTCGGCCCGGCGATTTGACGCGGCCGCCGAAATTACCGTTCGCCCAATCGGCGATGAAGAAAGCGCCGATCATTGATCGCGAGCAAACGTCGTCGTCCGGTTAATAGACGGATTATTAACGTCGATCTGATCGCGATCGCGACGAAAGTTGACTGCCTCCACGACGACGTTCGCCCGAGAAGCTCGAGATCGGGTTTGAGAAACGTCGCACCGGTAGGGGCGTGAATACCGGTTATCCGCTGGACAATTCTTGCCGACGGTTACGACGATACGACGAGAACTTCACCCTACCATGAGTAACGCGAATAAAAGCGCCGTTTTCATCGCGTCGTCGTATGCGTGCACACACACACACACACATACACACATGCGCGCGAGCGCGTGCCTCACGCACGCAGCGACTCGGCGTAAAATTACGCGTAACGGAAAAGACGAGCCGCGCGAGAAGACGCGATTGCGTGCTAGCTCGTGTCCCGCGGGTCTACAGGTTAGGAGGTCGGGCTCCTTGTCGTTTTACCGTTCGTGTCCGGGAGAATCCCCTGTGCATTCCCCGACGGTATCATTATTATCGTTATTATTATTGTCAGCCTCGATTGCACCGCCGCCACCGCCGCCGCCGCCGCCACTACTGACGGCACCGCCGCCATCGACAGCGGCTCCGTTAACATGTCGCTGATTGCGGGAATGATGGATTCAAGCCCAGCGAGAGCAACGCACGACACGACCTCTCGTCTTTCGTTATTGATAGTTTCGGATTTGGCCGCTATTGTTGGCGTTCCCAGAACCGAGAATAAATGACAGCGCGCGCTCGTGCCTCGTGCTTGGCAAGTTTCGCGCGTAGCGCCGTTCCGTTGCGCGCCTCCACGATTTCGATACTTCTCCTCGGAAAGACGAAAGTGCAAATTTAGGACGCTCCGAGAGCAAAAGGTGCAGAAGGCTGTGAAGTCTGCGCGTTCTCGGATCAACGTCCTCCGAGTCTGTCTTGCAGCGCAAACTGCAGTTTGATTCTATTCTTAAACTTCTTCTCGGCAACTCCATTTTTCAAATTTTCATTTTGTTTCTCTTCGCTTGCGAAATGAAGAATTTCTCGCGATCGCGAAAATTTCGCATAAACGCGAAGGTGCGGTGAGAACTTTGGTCAATCGTCAATTTCAGCGACGAAAATAACGCTTCTACGAGCTTAGGCGAGCGAGTCTCGGCGATTGTGAATCGCAGCACGTAACGAAATTTGAGCGCGTCATTGAGATTTGCGTCCCGTTGTACTACGGGAAGGTTTATTTGAATCGGAGAGACAGCCACGTGGATCAATCTAGCATGCCGGTCTACCGCACCGAGATTTGCGCCGGTAACGAGCTTACCCGGAGCTTTACGCGGTAAAAGCATGTCCGACAGCGAAGCCCCGCATTGCGCAAATCGCATGCGACCGTGGCATGACTTAGTCTCTTCCGTCCGTGTAAAATTAGCGTTACAGCCATTTCTCAGACGCGCGTCCGCGAGAGAAATTGCCCGTGTATTATCGTCATCGCACACGGTGGCCGCAGCTCGCATTTTTCACCGTGCAACGCGCTTTCGCGCACAAGATGGCCGACTCACGGCCAAGCGCGGTACAACCAAGCGAAGACCGCCAGAGAAAATTTCGACTTTTCCGTCTCCTCGACGACGAGAGATCACGCACGGGCAAGGTAGTCGCGCACTGTCGTCACAATCGCCGCGCGCAACTTTGCAACGTGTCTTTCAGTGAAGCCTACCTTCACCGTCGAGCGAACGTCGAAGCCGATCGAAGTCCGAAATTTCGTCGGAGCGTCGATCGCGAGCGCGTGGCTCTTCGTTCATCCCTCTCCGGCATTCCTCGTCGTCCGCGTCCACCGCGCGCACCGCGCTCGTCCTTTTTCTCCCCCGATGCTCGACGGCTATCCCCGTTCGCGCGTACGCGCATTACGTGGCGCGCGACGGCAGTAGGCCAAAAGTTCAATGACTTGTTGCCTTGCAAGGCCGGTCGCCTCTCTTGGTTCGGCTCGCGCTCGGCTCGATTCGACCGCACAGCGTCGCCGCCGCCGCTCGGACGGCTCGATTACGTACTACATCCACTCGCCAGTAGTATCGACCGCACTGCGAGAGAGACCACTCGCCGTGGATTTATCGCCGACGGTCGTCTTTACCGACACGGCGGTCGTGGAGGAGCCACGGACGCCGTTAGGCACCGGGAGGGAAGCTGCGAGATGCGCTCGGCAGACGAGATCTGGAGAAGCGCGTCCTCGGAAATTGGAATGACTTCGCGGTAGATTTTTTCAATAACCGTCCAACTTAATCCATCTTCCACGCCGTATCGATGTCTTTGATGAAGACGCACCGACGACGTGGGGGGACTTGGGAGCGTAACGCCGTGCACCGCCTGATGCGCGTACAAGTTGGAGAAAATCAATAGGTAACCCCTTCGTTCACATAAATGTAAATTTAGACAGCCGAAATTTACATGTAGGGGAGTCGGGGGAGGGGGGTATCTTAGTGGCTACATGTAAAATACTACATACATGTGCGACACTTCTCGAAAGACTTCCAAGCAGGGAAGTGGAGGAAGGAGTATATTCTCGTTTCTCAAGAGTGAGGTTATCTCTCGTAGTTGGATATGGACCTCGGGAGGAGAGAAACGAATCGCGCTCGAACGAACACGTTCTCGCTCGGCGATTCGGCCTACTCGCGCGAGTGCGTCGAATCGGAACGACGCAG